ACTCACTAGCAGACACACACACTAACACTCACTCTAAGACACACTCTAACACTCACACTAACACTCACACTAACACTCACTAGCAGACACACACACTAACACTCACACTGACACTCACTCTAACACACTAACACTCACACTGACACTCACTCTAACACTCACATACACTCTAACACTTACTCTAACACTCACACATGTTTTTTTTTTAAATTGAATCCCCCCAGCCTCCTTACCTTTTGGAGTGCTGGGGGATTCCCTGGGGTCCAGTGGTGCTGCTGGGCGGGTGGCCGGTCGGGCAGGCAGGCAGGCGGGCGCGCGAGGGAGCACTCAGCATGCTTCCTCTTCAGCTCCCTCGCGCCGCGTAGGGATGCCAGAGCCGGAAGATGACGTCATCTTCCGGCTTCTGGCTCCGGTATCAGTGCGGTGCGCGAGGGAGCTGAAGAGGAAGCATGCTGAGTGCTCCCTCGCCCGCCCGCCTGCCTGCCTGCCCGACCGGCCACCCGCCTGCCCGGTGACAGCAGGGCCAGCCTCGGGGGGGCCCTGGGGTGGCCGCCTCCTGGGCCCCCCAGGGGAAGAGGCTGGCCCTGTGGCTACATACCAGGTCGCAGGGGCGGCCGGGCCCCCTGGTGAGCCGGGCCCGGTCGCAGCCGCGACCCCTGCGACCCTGGTATGTACGCCACTGCATACAGTCATCCCATGACGAGCTTCTACCTTCAATTCCATAGTTTCTTCAATGTCTTTAATGATATGTATTCCCATTTATTTGCACACCAGCTTCTATTGGATGGTATGAATCATCCCACACATATAGGACAGTCACCGAACAAAACTTGTAGGGTTGGGCAGCATAGGAGAGTTTTATTTTTTATTTGGTTATTTGTTTTGATTGTTTATAATAAATATGTCTATTTGGAAGAAGTGGTCGTCTACTCAATTTTCTATGGAAAACAACCATTTTCATTCCGTTGGGATTACATCTTTATGATTTGATGAGCTTTTCACTTCTTAATATCCTGTAAGTGGCACCCAAATTAAAGCATAATATTTTAATATAACAATTTTGAACTATTATATGGGTTGTTTTCTTTTCTCCCACGTGCCCATTTATTCTGCTGGAGACATTTTTTTTATTATTATGATACGTCTACAATAAAGTGAATGTTTGTGAGGGCATCAATCACAACCTTTTATAAAAATAGTTTTTGAATGTTTATTGCATTAGGGAAGAAAAGACGTCTTCTAGTGATCCTTTAAGATTATTACATAATAATTCACAAAATGCAAGATTCTTTGATAATACAACATCCTGTTTGATATATATATATATATTCAAAAAGAAAGGAATGCACACCAACGAATACAATAAAGTATATCTATATATATTTTATTACAAATCCAAATCTCACATAAAAAATGTAACAGTGACCAAATAGGCAAAAAAGTTTAACAATATATTTACCAAAATTCCACAAGCCTATATGGGCAGAAACACGAGTCACAAATAATCCCCCAACGTTTCGGCTCCTCCTGGTAGCCTTTATCAAGGGTAGCTATGATAAAGGCTACCAGGAGGAGCCGAAACGTTGGGGGATTATTTGTGACTCGTGTTTCTGCCCATATAGGCTTGTGGAATTTTGGTAAATATATTGTTAAACTTTTTTGCCTATTTGGTCACTGTTACATTTTTTATGTGAGATTTGGATTTGTAATAAAATATATATAGATATACTTTATTGTATTCGTTGGTGTGCATTCCTTTCTTTTTGAATATTTACTATATTGGTATTGAAGGGAGTACCTTCTTGGAATAGCACCCATAATTGTGGTAGCAATTATACTAAGTGTCTCTCCACATATTGTATTTTATATGATATATATATATATATACACACATACAAACACACACACACTCAAAAATTCCAATGTGGGCTCATGCCAATATAGTTTACATTGTGCAGACAATTGTGGACTACATATTTGTAGTTTGATTTGTAGACTGATTTGACAATGATATAGCACTGAAGGTTAAGGAAATCATAAAGAATAAAATTG